AATTTCCTGTGCGCAAAAATAAACTCGCGTAAAATAACAATAAACAGCGTAATAGAGAGATATCGCTAAACCGAATAGCGTGCATGGACGTTAAAAAGGCCAGGTGTTATTTCCTTTACGTGAGGTTGTATTAACTCTCTTCATTTATAGTTATCGATTCGGAAAGAATTCTGTTCGCGTCGCGTCAGCTATTTAAACTTAACCTAACTTTGAATTTAAAACTTTGAAATTGTTTTGTTTACTAGGTATTTTAAAACTAAACGGCTAAAGTGCTTTATTGTTCAACGTCTGCCAGTGGGTTTAGGGCAATAAGCAACAAATTCTCTTAGAAGGGCTAAGTCGTCATCTGCTATAAACCTAAGCCTCTTTATAGGTTCTTTAATATTGGAAGAGGTGGAATCCATATTTTGGGCCATATTTATTTAATTAAAACTGATTCTAGCTACTTAAATATCAAATTACCTAATAAAACTAAAGTAATAATTCAAAACAATTCAAACATAACCTAAAATAAAAGATCTCGCCGGCCGGCCCCGGTTGTCAAATATCCGCACATGCCCATTTAAGCAATTTTTAAACGTTATTTACAAATAAATAAAATAAATAAATAAATGCTTTTATTGTCAAAAAATATTTCAATTTGTAGACAAAGGTAAACTAACCAAAAAAGTAAAAAAAAAACAAGGTACATAAACAAACAAACAAAAGATAATACAAAACATTATACAAATAATATTGTCAGTCTTATTGTTAAAATAAACATTTATAAATGTTTATAATGTCAAAGAACAAAAAAATAAAATAAAAAAATAAAATAAAATAAAATAAAAAATAAAATAAAATAAAAAAATAAAATAAAATAAAAAAATAAAATAAATAAAATAAAAAAATAAAACTAAGTAATAATAATAATAAGAAGAAGAAAATTTATTGTAATTTGTGTACATAGATTAGATACAAACAAAAGAATTATAAAACACAATAAACAAAAATATAAACAAAAGAAAGTACTTCTATTTCTTGTCTAGGTTATATTTTAGGGCAATTTAAAAATAAAAACCTAATAGCGTATACGTTAAGATGGTAACGTTATTAGTGGGTGGTGCGTTAAAAATTGACTCGCGCATATCGTAACCATGATAATGTACGCGTAAATACTGCATGACGCTATTCGGTTTTCCGATCTCTCTAATAACTGTGCCGGTCAGGCGCTGTGCACAATTTTATAGGCCATAAGTGGGTGTGCTATGTGCGCAAACTAGTAACCTAATTAGTGCCCGATTCCGAAAATTGGAACCACGAAAAACAATAAAAAAAAACAAAGTGTTTAATCTGTATAATCTGTGATATTACATAAATTAGAATTGATTGAGGTATTCAATTGTTTTCGGTCACTTCCTATTTCACCGGAAATGACTACAACTTGGTTTTTTCATCCTCAGTATTTTTTTTTACTTTATTCGATAGAAAATGACACAATGAATCGAATGATATATCATATGTCAACTTTTGATATATTCGCTCAATAACAAATTGTATTTTAAATTTCAATCTAGAGTGCTATGGCTCACTCATAACCGCTAAGTACTTCTAATTCTTGTCTAGGTTATATTTTAGGGCAATTTAAAAATAAGAACCTTTATTCTTCCGCAAAGATAAAATTCCATAGGCACGAAGTCCGACGGCCTCGATGGGCAACGGCTAGGATCTTGGTTAGCTATTCAATTATTCTCGAAATTGGCTGCAAAAATTTGCTGATAACTTCAGCGTCGTGAGGTGGTGCCTTGTCTTGCTGGAAAAATATGTTTGCCAGTTCTATTTTAGGGACATTATCATCAATAAGGGGTCCAAAGCCGACTAGTTAAAAGTGGTGAACTTTTAAAAATTCTCTATTTCGAAGAAGACTATAACAAAATATCAAGTGTGCTATTAATTATTAAAAATATACAGAGTGTCCCAAATAAAAAATCAACTTTTCTGTTGATAACTCTTAAATTATTAATTTTAAAAAAATTATACTTAAAGCATTAAATTCTTCGTAAAACGGTGCTTTAGAAATGTTTTCATAAAAATACAAAATTTTCCAGCGTAATGCTAAACAATTGTATATTCACGGCTTTTTTACGCCAGCGCAAACGATCATTTTCCAGCCACACACTTTTTTCCCGTTTCCGGTTTTCCGTCGATTTTGTTCGAACAGACTTGTTCGTCAAACAACGCTGGCAACTAACAACGCAGTCTATGAGCTTCTTTTTAATACTTCAATTCATATTTGTTCAGAAACGACAATTATTTGTCCTTATCTGATTATTATTATAAACAATTATTTTTACACAAACCATTTGGTGTTAAGCAATGTTCAAATGAGTTAGTAGCTACTTCCAAAATATATGAGCAAACGTATGCGTAATGTATGTTTCTTTCTTAAATTAAAAATTAATAATGCAATTAAAAGCCTTAGTTGCCGAAATTAATAGTAAATCACGAAACAACAATTTAATACACCAGTTTGAAGGAAATAATACTTTTCGCCAACAAATATGTAACTTATATCAGATGTAAATTTTTGTGCCTTTATTGTACATAATTTGTACGAGAAAAGTTGCTCAGTCAGTATGCCAGCTTAAGATACAACAAAATACTGTTTTACCATTTGAATGATTTACGTAAATTACTTAGGGGTACAATTATTATATTTACATGTGTCATTAGGCCGATATGAAATATTGGTAATAAGTATAACGATTTCCAATACACAATTATTTATTTTCGCCTTTCCAATTTAAACATAAAACATTTTCAAGTAAAAGTAATGTTAAAAGTAGATCAGTCAGGTATTAATTTAGAGAGTGTTATTTTGAATTGTTTTGTTTAACTAATTTTATATTTTACATACTACGACACACATATAGAGGAAAGTAACCATATATGAAATGCCATTTAGTTTTTGTGTTATGGCACGGAAATATGGAATAAGTACCCAAATATGGACCACTATAAAACAAACACTTCAAACTAATCAAAACGTATATCACTTTTTTTTATTAAATTCATTCACACTGTTGTGGTACATCGGAACACGGGACATAGGAAATCCCATGTAAATTTTGAAAATGTCAAATATTATCTCCCCGATAATTTTATGCAAAAGTTGTATTAGACTTTTTGAAGAGGCGTTAAAGTTGTACTTTTGTCTAGAATTTCGTTTCATTTGGAATAGTCATTTAAAAGTTATTTCCAAAAATCTACCTTCGTAAAATTTATAATACGACCCAGAGAAGCTACAATTAAAACACCAGCAAAAATGTGATTGTGTTATTGTCAAATTCGATGTCACATTTTGTTTACAAAAATTTAAAGGTACCAAATAGAGTAATTTTATATAAAATAATTATAAATTTTACAACTTCTGAAAAAGTTACGATGGTTAAACGGCATTTTGCTGGAAATAGTATTCTCGCGTCTAAAAATAGTATTCTCGTAAATATGTTCGCAGTTCAGTCTCCGGAAAGCCTATAACGAATAAGGTATGGAATAAGTCAATAGTTTAAAGAATGAAACAGAGGTTTGAAACTAAAGGACCTAATTAAGGACATGGAAGTGTGAAGACAACAATAATTGAACAGGAAGAAAACAACAATGACTTGAATATTCTTGAAAGATAAAAGATTTGAAGTTAACGTCTCCTTTTTGCTACCAGGGCTAATCTGGACGGGGCCTACATTGTTTACGCGGAATCCGAACCGCGGTCCTCGGCCATATCATGGTCAATGGCCTACCGACTTGGCAAGTGTCTAAATCGACTCTTACTCACGAAGTATCCGATCTCATCTGGCCTCGAACCGGCGTGAATGAGCAGTGTGTGTCAATAGATTTTACACTTTTGCCTTTATTGGACAACAGCACGATACAGAGTTTCGAACCGGTCACCCGTCCATCCACTAGTATCGCCTTACGTCGCTTAACTTCGGTGTTCTAATGGAAACCGGTGTTTCGACGTAGCTAGGCCGTTGCCCTGAATATTCTTCATGTTGAAGAAAAGAAAAACATTGACTCCCGTTTATTGGGGATACAGTAGGAAAATACCACAGGATCTTTTGCCGAACGACTTCTTCCTGTGGAGCACACTCAAAAACCGTGGTAATTAATTATAGAAATTTAGATGGACTGAAAACGACATCTCTGGAATACTAAAGGTTCTCCCCTTAACAGCTTTGTATTGCGAGGCGCAAATTTCACAATCATTTGGGGTATTGTTTGGCTGTGAATGGAGGATTATGTAAACATTTTATTAATTAGCATAGTTTAATGAAGTTCCTTTAGTTACAAATATTTCTTTTATTTGTTAAATTATTGTGGATGTATGTGGTTTGAGAGGGGTCTGCGAGTGATCGTGTAATGAACAGGAAACAAGTAATATACCGCAAATACTATTCTCAGTTCAAGTAATTCTTTTGTAGATGATCATTCCAATTCATGATGATCATCATTAATTCAAAAATTAAAAAAAAACTAAAAAAATAAACAATGCTTTAAAAAGACATAAATTCTTGTCACAATTCTTGTAAACAAAAAAATGTGACATCGAATTTGACAATGACAAAATCATATTTTTGCAGGTATTTTAATTATTGTAGACTTTCTCTGGGCCATATTATACATTTTTAGTAATTTGAACGTATATTTTTGCAAATAACTTTTACATGCCTATTCCAAATTAAACGAAATTCTGGACGACAGTACAACAAAATAAAAACACTAAATCACCACAATACACCAAAACACTTTTACTTTTACACTGGACGCGCGTTTCGCTAACTATGTTAGCATCATCAGCAGATGATTATAAACTGAAGTACAAATGACTGTACAACCTTAACTTCTCTTCAAAAGAGTCATTAAATCAAACATTCTTAAACTCCTAGTAATGTAATACATACAGATATATAAAAATGTAATAGAAAAATACATAAAAAGTATAAAAAATTAAAAAAACTTACGTAGTGTTTCCTAAACTTGTATAGCTACTGGTATATAAACCAACCAATCTATCTTTCATGTCTCCATCAAACTGAATTGAAATACTATCAAACGTTGATGTAAATTGTGTGCCATCTTTTTTGGTAATGGTAATAATTTCATAATTGTCATTAATTTCAAAATTAACTTGCTCTCCTTTGACAGAAACTGAGGTAATGTTCAATTTGTTAGTATGTAGAACTATTGACCATGCTGCTTCTGTTACATTTACAGATATTATTACAGTTCCTTTAAATAATCCTGAAATATACATAAATAGTAAATTAAATGTATCAATATCTTACCATTCTAAAATAAGCAAATTATACCTAATTAAAATATTGCTACTGTTAGAATGAAGATATATACAGGGTGTTCCAGTTCAAACGAAACAAGGCCATTTAAAGGCATTTCTGGTGTGAACAGGACAAAACGGTGAAACACGTCAACTTTATTTTCGAAGGGGAAATAAGATGCGACTATTTTAGAAGCCTCTAATTCAAACCCCACGCGGGGGTGTCATCCACCCTTAAAATCTTAAGTGTAATGCGGGGTCGAGTAGCACATCAATTGAAAGGTTATTAAAGCCTCTTTTCAGACCCGTCTCATTTTTGGAGTTTTTGTCACATTTGGTAAAAATGGGCTGAAAATAAACTTTTCATAAATTGATGATGCTTTGATATTTGATTAATTGTACAGGAATCGAAATGGGGTCTAAAATAAGAAATTTAGTTTAAATCAACAAGATTTTGTACACAAAAAGTAGTACCAAAAACTTGTTTACATTTTTGTTTCTTATCGGCTAGTACACGTCTTCTTTTCAACATGTGCTTTTCCGATGAATGTACATTTTTGATCTACAGAACAGTAAATCGCCACAATTGTTTCAAAGCAGGGTATTACTTTTTGTGTATTATTCGTTAATAACCTGCACCATGCAAAAGGGTTTTCCGCCACAATAACAAGATTCTTTGAGAAAAATCATTATGTAATGGTACTAGCCCAGGAACCCTGGGTGTATCAGGGACAAATTAGATGTTTGTCTGGAAAAATTCAAAGGTAATATATGATAACAGGCAGGAATTTCCCCGAGCCTGTATTCTTATAAGAAAAGACATTAACTACACATGTGTTTCAGAATTTACAACCTGAGATCTTGTTCCAATCATGGTTCAACTTAATATCGAGGATTGCAGTAAAAATTTCGTTATTGCCTCTGCTTATTTTCCGGGTGACGATGACGGGGAGACACCGCCTCCGGAGGTACGGGAGCTCGTGCGATTCTGCAGCCAACGGCGACTACCTCTGCTATTGGGATGCGACTCCAATACACACAATGAGGTATGGGGAAGCACTAACACTAGAGGTGAGTGTTTACTTGAATTCCTCTTAGCATACAATCTTGAAGTTCTCAATGTAGGGAACACCCCCACGTTCGTGACAAAAAACGCGGGCGGAAGTATTAGAATTAACAATCGGGAGTGCTAGTGTAATCAGTTACGTGAAACACTGGAGGGTCTCGACGGAACCCTCCCTATCAGATCACAGAATCATCGAGTTCAAATTAGGAGGAATCACACTCCAAAAAAAAACTCGAAGGAATCCAAGAAAAACAGACTTATATATAACACCAATCTCGTAGACAACCTAAACCGTATAGATGCAAGTAGGGCCAGAAACCATCTGCATCTAGAATGGTACTCAAGGGAAGTCAGCGGTGCAATATTGGATGCATATGAATCTAGTTGCCCCACAAGTAAAGGCATACAAAAAAGTAACAACAAGGTGGAGCAAGAAGTTGGCCAATCTTAGATCGGAGGTCCGGCGAGCTAAATCAAGTGGCGAATGGCAGCTCTGCAGCGAGAAATTAAGTGAGTATAATAAGGAGACAAGATAGGGCAAAGCGGTCTGACTTTAGATCATTTTGCGAAAACATCACTTCTACTCCTGATGCAGCTAGACTACACAAAGATATGGCCAAGAGTGGGTCTATCCCCAACATGGCACTTAAGAAATCTGACGGAAGCTACACGGAAGGAGAGGAAGAGAGAGCTAATCTCCTATTTTATACACACTTTTCAGGTAGCATACCTATTGATACTCATGTAGCTCCCACTGAACCCCACAATCCTTGCAGGGAAGATTGGGAAGTGGCCAAGATAGTAATAACAGAACAAAAACTGAAATGGGCGATCGACACCTTTCAGCCCTATAAAGCAGCAAGAGTGGATGGGATCTTTCCTGCCCTTCTAAAAGGTCAGCATCTATTAAGCATTACAATGGGATATATATCAACCACATGGAGAAGAGCAACTGATTGGAAAAATCCCAAGTCATTTAGGCCTATTAGTCTCACATCGTTCATACTAAAAACACTGGAGAAAGTAGTTAACAACCATATTGGAGAAAATCATCTAAAGGTTAAACCACTGCATGATAGTCAGCATGAAGAAGCATGAAGATTAGAACCGGCAGATCCACAGAAACTGCTCTGTACCAATTAACGGAGCTAATACAGACAAGATAGCAAAGAAACAACAATTTGTGCCTTCTTGGAAATTGCGGGGGCGTTTGACAATATACCACATAAGGTGGTCAGGCGGTCTCTAGAAACAAGAGGAGTGAACAGAACTATTATTCGCTAGTTCTTTACAACCAAAATTGTAGCTGTTAAAACAACGCAAGAAACTCCACAAGGTGGAAAAACCTCCCCTTTGCTGTGGAGCTTGGTAGTGGATGAACTAATAGACGAATTAACTCTAGCGGGAATATACTGCATTGGGTATGCAGATGACATAGTCATGATCGCTCGGGGGAAACATGAAGGCACCCTGTGTGATATTATCCAAAGAGGACTCCGTATCACTGGGCTGTATATCAACTCAGACAAAACCGCGATAGTGCCATTCACCAGAAAGCGAAGTCTGAATAACTTGAAAAGAATCCAACTAGATGGAAAGGAAATACTACCATCACAGGAAGTTAAATATCTGGGAATAACCCTGGACAGTAAACTCCTGTAGAACAGGCATATTAAGAACACTACCAGTAAAGCCACAAAGGCTCTCATGATATGCAGAAGACTGGTTGGAAATAGATGGGGCTGCTCCCCTAACATTTTGCGCTGGATATATACTATGATAGTAAGACCCATGATTACTTATGGAGCAGTTGCCTGGTACACAAAACTAGAGCAACGGACGGCAAGACTAAACCTATGCAAAGTCCAGAGACTAGCATGCCTTTGCATCACAGGAGCCATGAGAACCTGTCCAACAGCAGCAATGGATGTCATTCTAGATCTAGCATATTGTCATTGGTAGGTATGCCAATGCGACAATGATTAAAATGTTCACTAACGGAATCAGTACTGGGAGAATTGTCAGATCAGGGGCTTGGAATACCCTCAAAATGGAAATACCACTCATGCAACTCCCAGTGGGTGATATGCCAAGAACGTACAACTTTGAGAAACATCTCAATGTAGTATTGAGCAATAAAAAGGACTGGAAGAGAGAAACGTCTGCCCAACAGTTAAAAGACCATACCATAACTTGGTATACTGATGCTTCCAAAACCAATGCGGGAACAGGGATCAGAGTATTTGGGTCGAGAACTAAATACTCCGAACCAATGGGCACCTACCCTAGCATCCTACAAGCAGAAATCTACGCTATCAAAAGATGCGTACAACTTATCTTAGATAGATCATCGGAAACAAGAAAGATAGATATTATCGAATTATCGGAAAGATAGATTATCGAAAACAAGAAATAGCCATCTTATCTGATAGTCAAGCACCGTTAAAAGCGATCAACTCAATACCAATCAATTCGAAATTGGTCAAAGAATGCATAGAGAAGCTGAATAAATTAGGCAATGAAAAAAAGAAAACAAAGTCCTCATACTCTGGGTTCCTGCTCACTAAGGGATAGAAGGCAATGAAAAAGCAAATGATCTAGCTAGAAAAGGAGCAAACACTCCACTAACTGGACCAGAACCGTTCTGCTTTCCAAGTGGTAACCAACTCAAGGCGGAACTCAAGAACTTGGAAGACTCCATCCGCAACCTGGAATGGGAATCTTGCAACGGTCTAAGACACTCGAAGAAGTTTCTGAGGGCTTACGATCAAGAAATATTAAAGATCTTCCTGAATCTAAGTAAGAAAAATCTTCGGATTGTCACGGGGTTTTTAACAGGACACTGTCTCCTCAATGAACACCTCAGTAGATTGAAACTAAGAAGAAACGGCGAATCCAGATTCTGTGGGGAAAATGTGGAAACACCAGTACACCTCATCACTGAGTACGCCGAGACGACAACCATTCGTGCCATGAACGTTGGTACGACTGGTTTTGTAGATGGAGAACTATCCTCTATAAAACCGTCCCAGATACTGGCTTTTGTCAAAGCCGTGGGACTGTATGATGAGTTATATTAACCCCCCTCCCACTCATTCTAAATTCTAAAAAAATTCTATCCCAACTACTTCACAAAATATTAATAAAATATATTTAAATTTACTGGGTATTGCAATTTCTATATCACAGTATACATACTTTAAACAATGAATAACAAAAACTGTTTTATTTTTATAAAAAATGAGAGCCACCGGCATTATTATGTATTTCGTCCCTCTAAATTTAATGTACTACCAACGTGACTGCATTTACTTCTTCCCAAGAAGCATTTTAAAACAAAAAATCGAAACAAAATCTCTGCTGAGAAACATTGCGAAACAGTTTCGTCACATTTTTGATACATATGGTTCGTAACATAAATCGCTTTTTGTTTCGAAACATATTACCAAAATATGGTTTCGCTACATAAGCTATAACAATAAAGATCTTAGATCACAAATTTTTCGATACTTTTAAGAAACAGATGTGGTTCACATATAAATGTGCTTATAAATGATTTCGTTCTCGTTTTGTGCCTGAAAAGCTTCCATAATTTATTTGATATTCTGTCAAATATGGGAACATAACCTTACTTTATTGTTTGGATTTTGTTCAGCAGTTTTTGCATTTAAGCGTTCTTCAAGTTTTTATAGTACCTACTATAATTAAAAAAGCAGAAGGAAGGACGTACGGTGAATACAAATACAGATATTTTTCTTATACGATTTTATAATTATTTATTATACGCATTACAGAGATGATTTGTTTTAGAATTAAATGTAATAACAACCATTACCCATACCCAACAGGAGTCCGAAGAAAAATGTTACCAACAAACTTTTTTTGTCTTTTTTCCACAATAGAATACATGTTTTTATGCTTTAATTGTGTTATAATAAGTAAAATGTGTTTTATTTATTTTGACCAGCAATGTGATTCTGTAAGCTCCGTAGCAAGAAATTTCTTGCCTAGCCTATGTTATTTGTATACGATTGATGATTCACTAGACAGGAAATTTGTTTACAGAATCGCACCCCAGAAGTTTTGATTGGCGTTGTTGACAGGTGACTAGTTCGAAATTTCTACACAGATAGCGCTAAATCGAAACATTGTTATCCCTCGCAATAAACAGAAAAAAATATATCTCTGATATTCAAATTAGATAGTGTGCTTAAATTAATTTAAAACTTTAAATTAAGCTCGCTAGTTTAAAGTTTTAAATTAATTTAAGCATACTATGCAATTTAACTAGTACATTGTTTTTCAAACAAGCCAACCAACTAAAATTATAAATATATGGTCCAACTTACCTGTATCTAAATAAGGATATAAGTATAAGTCATAAAGTGTCGGAACGACATTTGTAGGCAAACGATACTTAGACATATCTGTTGATGGCTCTTCAGTTGTAGTACTCGTAGTAGACAATGTAGTTGTTACAACTGCAATAATAATCAGTATATTAATCTTTCACAATACTCCACACCAAGCAAAAATGATATTTAACCATGATATTTCATATTATTAACTAAATCGCGAAATTAATTTAAAAAAATTATAAAAAATACGAAAAATATTTATATGGGTTTAAAGTAAGAACAAGAGGACGACGATTATTTATAAATCTCTACATTCGCGAATGTAATCAGTGACGTGACGTCATATATAGTTTATAGTTTTATTTAAAATTTAAGAATTTAGATAGTTTCGACTATCCAAATCTTCAGCTGCTAAAAACTCATAAAATTATGTTGATTTTAAACTCGTTCACTTTAAAGATATCTATTTTTATCGGTTGTAACCACTCACCATTTTACAGGAGGTGTCAATAATCTCATGATTTTGATATTTTAGGATGCCATATAAAATGCATGACTTATTTATCATATAGAAAAATATAAAGCATATTTCTTTAGTGTTTAGTTTGCCGCTATACCAGTTTCCACTGAAACTGTCATGAGGCCTAGTTAAAATATATTTTTTACACATCCCAAAATGGGTGATATGTGGTGATATACAGGGTGGTCCGAACAGTATTCCGGAAACTTCGGCAGTATATTCATATTAAAAAAGACTCAAAGTCTCGAGACTGAGTCTTTTTTCTACTTTTTTAATTTGAACCAGGTCTCTTTGAGAAAAATGGATGCCTTCTTTAAAAAAGTATATTCATATTCTGCAGATAAAAATAAGTAAAAAAGTTCGTATAAATGTCTGTCCTAAGATGCTTAGTTTCGGAGATACACGATATAGAAGTTTCATTTTTATTTCGATTTTTTCCAAATAATTTATGAAGTAACGTCAATACTTGGATGAAAATTGGTATCTGGAAGTTTTTTGACATGAAAAATTTAATTTTGATGTCAATATGACTCCTACGTGTAGAGGGCGTCACCTACACATTTTTAACTGGTTTGAAGAGTAATAATTTTTCTTCCGTACCTGTATAAAACTACTGAGTAAAAAACAGACATTTACGATGTTTTTTACGTAAAAAAGGCCTCTTGATAAAAATCGCTACAAGTAATGGTTCTCCAGATATTTGGAATCGAAATTATCAATATTATTTGTCATCAATGACATAAACATGTATATTAATTAGTTATCCTGTTTTTTTTTATTTTTTTATTTTTTTTATAATTTTCTTGGGATTTAGGTTCGGGAAAACTCTGATTAAGTTTTCATTTAGGTTTTCATATTTTTTTATTTCATTTTTAAAGGAAATAACCAAACGTTTCGGCCAACATTACAGCCTTCATCAGTGTAGCTAGTGTCTATAACAAAATGCCAATTTCAAATTAACTTATCACAAAAATCTGTTAAATTTTTTTTTTTTTTTTATTTATACAAATCACGAATACATAGTTAAAATTAAGAGTCAAGTAGTTTATGTATAAAAAACCTTAAGTAGCTAAGTGTGACAAAGTTTATGTAATAAACACAATAATTATTTACAAAAATTATTATTTTTTTTTCATACTTATTTACCCGCTATTGAAAGTTAAAAATAAAATCTTACAACACTCACCAAAATCAAAAAAACAGTGCCGAACATAATCCAAAAATTACATAGAACAAATTCACAAACACACACAGCATAATGTTTACTATAATTAATAAAACTAATATCAACTTGTCAGAGGATGGCTACATATTTTTTTTTTAAATGATTATTCGTAAGACCAAAACGATCCACGTATGTATATTGACTACGGCTGAAATCGCACTAAACCTAATTTATATTTCATTGGCCAATAAACTGTAAAAACACTATTCTTTTTATGGTTTCCAAAATATTACTTCTTATATATACATGATTTTTTTTTATATAAAACAGGGAGAAAACAATAAACAAATTAATTTACAAACTAAAATACACTTGATTCAAGTTTTTTATGTCAGTTCTATCATTCATAGATTCAGGTTCTTTTTTAATATAGATCATTTCCAAAAATTCTCTTTTATGCTTGTTGTATTCAGTGGCTAAAATTTTGGTCTCCTGATAATTCATTTTGTGATTTGTCGTGCTTTCATGTTTAGTCAGAGCAGTTTTATTTTTTTTGTCATACTTATGACCTTTTAACCGGTTTTCTAAATATTGTGCTGTTTGACCAATGTAGACGTTTGGGCAGTCTTGACAGGGAATTTGGTATACTATATGAGTTTTTTTATTAGTAGGTATTTTACTCTTTAGGCGACTAAAATGCTTTTTTAACGTGTTATATCCCTTGTGACATACGGAAATATTGCTTTTTTTGAGTAAATTTTGGAATCCCTCAGACACTGTTCTTATATAGGGGAGTGGTAGATATCCGTTGTCTTTTTTGTTTTTATTGCTACTAATATTTGAGTTTATTTGTTGTTGATTTTCTAATAGTTTTTTTTCCTAGATTTTATGATACCATTTATTAATTTTTCCGGATAGCTATTCTTCATTAAAACTTCTTTGATTTTTTTTAAGGCATTTAATCTGTATGGAGGATCACTAAGGATTAAAGCTCGGTCTGTCAAGCCAATAACCACAGATTTTTTTTGGGATATGTGATGTTGAGAGTGGAAATTTAAGTATCTGCCGGACCATGTATTTTTTGTATACCATTCTGTTAAAACTTTATTATCACTGTGATGTAATGTCATATCGAGAAAGTTGATTTTGTTATCTGTCTCTTTCTCGATAGTGAATTGTAGTTTATGGTTATAACTATTGAAGGACGTTAGTATAGAGTTGCATTTATCATTTGGTACTGCAGTAATAACGTCATCAACATACCGATAATAAAACGGAATAGAAAAATTAAGATTTGGTATTATTGAGTCTTCTAGATCTTCTAGAACCATTTGTGCAATAACGCTTGAGATTGGCGAGCCCATTGCACACCCTTCGATTTGTTTGTACACTTGTTGTTCGTACATAAAATAAGTGGAGGTAAGACATAATTCTACTGCTTGTTTAAAATCTTGTATAGGAATATCTGTAAATTCTTCAATTTCATTCCATCTTTTTTCGACAATATCTAGTGCCAATTTAATTGGTATATTTGTGTAGAGAGAAACGACGTCTAAAGATATTAATGTATAATTGCTCGGAAGTTGTACATCTTTAATTTTGTTTTTGAAATCCCATGAGTCTTTAATATATGAATTTGTAGTACCAGTTACTTTTTGAAGGATATCTTTTAAAAACTTGGACAGTTTATGTAGAGGTGACTGTACACAAGAAACAATTGGTCGCATAGGTATACCTGCTTTATGGAGTTTTGGTAGGCCATATATTTTTGGTGGCTGGGCATTTAATATTTTTAAAGCTTTAGCTGTATTAGGGGAAATGTAAGTTTTTTCCTCCCATTGCTTAATAATGTCGTTATTCTTTTTTTGTAGAACATTTGTAGGATCAGTATTAAGTTTCTTGTACGTATTTTCTTCATTTAACAGTAATTTCATTTTTTCGTCGTATTGCGTAGATGTCATAATGACTGTTTTATGTGATTTGTCCGGTCTTAAAATCTTTAGTTCTGGGTGGTGCTTAAGGAACTTTTTTGTTTTTTCAATTTTTTTATTTAGTGATATCTCAAACATATTATTATTTGTTCTTGTAGTTTTGTTGGTGTCCAATTTATTTTTAAATTTTGTTAGTATTTCATGGCTGGCTGATCTGATCTCGTTTTTTTGGTTATTTGTTAATTTATAAGTTGAGACCTCAATAGATGGAATAATTTCTGGGATAGGCATTTCTGTCGCTGATTGAATTGGATAAGCAAATTCTCCACCTAAGCTTAGAATTTCGGTAGCATAGTCAGGAATATTTTGATCTGACATATTTTCTAATCATTCTTTTTCCACATTGATTGTGTTTGAAGTATTACTTGGCCCCTTTTTGAGTAATACGTTTATTTTTCTAATGTTCCTCTGTTTTATCTTCTCGAAAGTTTTCTCATAGACATAATTTTCTCTTGTAAGAAATCGTTCATATATATATGGTAAGAGTATTTGTTCTAATTTTGCTTTAAGTTTGTATATTTCGTTTTCTGTGAATTTTATAATATTTATTGTATCGGCTATTAATATTTTTATCGTATCCAATTTAAAATATTTTAAGGTATAGTTAAGAAATTTTCTATTTAAATTTAAAGAAAAGAAAGTAATATGATTCATTTTGAAATTTAAAAAAGTTGGTGTTAAATTGTCACTTTTACATCTCAGCAAAAAAGTACGTCTGTTCTTTTGATTAGCAAGTTTGTAGTTGAATTTTCTAAAAATTTTCATTAAGCTGACAACTTCTTTGTTATAGATGGATTCAATTGACTGGTAGTTTAGCAGATTTTCACCCATACTGCACTTATATTCTTGGAAAATTTATTATTCTTGAACCTTGTAATTAAATATTCTGTTTTTTTTTATAATTTTCTTGGGATTTAGGTTCGGGAAAACTCACAACATTAATATCTTTAGACGTCGTTTCTCTCTACACAAATATACCAATTAAATTGGCACTAGATATTGTCGAAAAAAGATGGAATGAAATTGAAGAATTTACAGATATTCCTATACAAGATTTTAAACAAGCAGTAGAATTATGTCTTACCTCCACTTATTTTATGTACGAACAACAAGTGTACAAACAAATCGAAGGGTGTGCAATGGGCTCGCCAATCTCAAGCGTTATTGCACAAATGGTTCTAGAAGATCTAGAAGACTCAATAATACCAAATCTTAATTTTTCTATTCCGTTTTATTATCGGTATGTTGATGACGTTATTACTGCAGTACCAAATGATAAATGCAACTCTATACTAACGTCCTTCAATAGTTATAACCATAAACTACAATTCACTATCGAGAAAGAGACAGATAACAAAATCAACTTTCTCGATATGACATTACATCACAGTGATAATAAAGTTTTAACAGAATGGTATACAAAAAATACATGGTCCGGCAGATACTT